TTTTTTTTTTTTCGTTTTGAAATTTGAAATTACGTATTACATACGATACGAGCAAATATTTCGTTATAATATGTTGAAACAAAAATATTTAAAAATCAGTTATATTAAGATTTGCTGAAAAAATCATAATATGTAGCAAATATGTCTTCGAAATGTTAGATTATATCGATTTCGAATACAATTTTACCTTTACACATACTTTTCAAGTATACATAGTGGCATAATTACGGTCAATGACAAAAATGTGGGTCGACGGAAGGGAAAAATTGAGGACGAGTTTTATGAAATTATAAAAAATATTTCTAAGATACTGCCGTGACATCAGTGCGGAAATAATTACTAAATCGACTAGGCAACGTCTGATTAGACGTCTTCGAGAATTATAATGACTAAGATTACGCGATTGTTCCTTATACAGATATAGAATCACTGTTGCACTTGCAAAATAACATTCCGAGGCTTTCCAAGTATCACCACCTTGATGAATGCTTTGCATATTTTCAAAACGTTTATCTAATCATTGGTTCACAGTGTCAAATGTATAGTTTTGCAATTACATCCCAAACGGATCGTATTCGAAATTACACGTAAATTAGTCGATAAAAGTAATTTACACGTCGATAATTTACGATTTCTACGTCTCTTCTTCGTGTTTATTTTAAAACTTTACATTCACAGTTTTTAAATTGAGTTTTTAAATTGATATTTATTTATTTATTTTTTTTGATCGATTGCAGAATCGAAAAATAAGGAAAAATGGGATACGGCACAGAAATGGATGGCTGCGGTCGTTGTATGAAATATTCCTTGTTTTTTATGAACTTGGTAATTTTCGTAAGTATTTGAAATAATTAAATTATGGTTAAAAAATCTTTCTAATTAGAGATGATAATAATATGCAAATAACTTTTTAGATCGGTGGAGTGGCGATAATTGGATTAGCAACGTGGGCTCTGTTGGACAAAGTACCATGGATAGGCGAACTAGTAGGAAACGATTTGTTAACAGGTGCTATTTACGTTCTATTGGTCGCTGGGATCATCGTTGCTCTAACATCGTTCTTCGGTTGCTTAGGTGCATCTCGAGAAGTTAAATGCATGCTTCTCACGGTAAATTTGATTATGCCATGCTCCTACGCTTTTAACAAACAAAACTTTATTGATTGAATTATGTAATCAAAAAAATTGATTTTAGTACTTTATCATCGTGTTCCTTCTGTTCGTAACCATATTAATTGGCGGAGTACTCGCGTACGTGTTCCGTGAAAAACTAATGAACACGCTTGAGAGGGAAATGTCGAGTTCGATGAGACTTTACGATAGTCGTAAAGCAGTTAGAGAGGCCTGGGACATGACACAGTCGAAGGTAAGCTCGAGATAAGAAATACTCTTGACTCGCGACAAATTTTGAGTATCATGAAAGACATTTATCTGATTTTAGACTAATATATCTTTTCCTTTGCTCTCATAATTTTATAGCTCCATTGCTGTGGTGTAAATGGTTGGAGAGATTGGGGACTCACTATACCGCAGAGTTGCTGTCGCGAGATTCAACCTGGACAGGTAAAGATTAATTTTCTTAACGAGCTCGTTCTCGGAGTCGTCGGCGAATCCGTGCATATGTAATTGCAGTAATTAGTGATTTACGTGGGATACTCATCGCACACGAGCCATCGTTATACGAGTCTAGCGTTATTACCTTGATGAGATTCAATGATATTTCAAGAATCGAGGAAGAAAAAAAATGAATCTGTCTGGCGCTCGAATATAATTGCTTTCAATTTGCGTCTATTTGCATAATTCATGAGCGAATGGTTTACAAACAACGGTGTTCACGCTCTTTGTCGCGTAAATCATGTATTCTTCACTAAAAAAAAAAGAGGGGGAAATCAGAGAAAAACAATTTTTTATCTTCATTTTTATTTAAATCATATTCGAAAAACAATGGAGAATACCAACAGTCGATTCGGTAGATACCTACCATTGTATCGACCAACGATAAAAATTCATCGACTTCGAATCTCAATACCTTATATTTGCAATTCGAAATGGATCGTTAGGAAAGCCCGATTCAAACGATTCTCCACGGAATTTCGAAACATCGGCCACGACCTATCGATTATATTCAGAAATGCAATAACCATTCCGTGGTAATCTGTTAATCGGACCTCGAGTCTGCAGCTTTGCCTCTCACGCTTTCACATCGATTTCGATCGACTTTCTCAAACCGAATTGTTTCTCATGGTGACCCGATCGATCTTATGTTACAGCGATTCAACTGCAACGCTGGACCAGACACAGTGAACCCCTCGAATGCCTATCTCGTCGGTTGCATCAATGGAACACAGATTTACTTGCAAAAGCATGCGACAATCATGGGTGGCGCTGGTATTGCAGTCGCGTGTTTGATGGTAAGAGTTTCGCCGTTTTCATTTGCATTTTAATGCAATTGACGCAAGTGAAAATCCATTAACAAATGCGTTTCCATTCAGTTCTGCCAATTCGCGAAGAGAAACGCTTTTCCTTTCTTCTTACTTTCGAATGTTGCGATAATTATGATTATGAACGTAACATCGATTTAATTACATTGTTCTAATACACCCATCCTTTTCATTTTACATCTTTCTTGGTAAAAATTAGATATATGGTTATTTTTTTTTTTATAATTTCTAATATTATTTTTAATGTTTCTTCATAGTTTTTCGGCATGATTTTCTCGTGCATTCTCTTCAAGTTGATAGAATGACAAGAGAGTAGTGTGCTTTAAAAGACAACTTCATTCTTCGTGTCTAAACTAACGAAGAGGAAGAAGTGGATGTCAGCCGTCCTCGAGCAACTCATGAATTCATAATCAATGTCATCGTCATTGAGTGCATCTAAGCTGAAGTAAGCTGAGAATCAAAATGCATCTTCACGCGCATCTTTCCAATGTACAGTTCTCATTTTTTCTTCTTTTCTTCTTTTTTTTCTTCTTTTGTTACATTTAGTATTACACTCGATGTACCTTTATTTCCAATTTTGTAAATTTTTAAGAATAATGCGTTGAGTATTTCGGTATATTTAATACATAGTGTATTGTATGGTATATATATATATATAATTTATATGGTAATACACTATGTACCTTATACGCGTAATAAATATAAAATCTATATACAAATCTTCGTATGAGTTTATATTTCGATTATTTCATTGTTACTTTTAAAGGAAATTGTGAATTATTTTGTTGATTTGTAAATCGATCGATGATTGTGACACACTGGTACTTTCATTGGAATAACAAGAAATTCGATGAATTTCGCGTCGGATAATCGCGTGTCTTTCCTGGACGGATATTCAATCGTGTTTTTAAATTCGATTAGAGGAACGTGCATGCGTCAGAATGTTTCCTCCTTGGAAATCCTATTCAAACGTCCCCTTTCGCATTCCCCATATCCTGTCTATCCAATAGCACGCACGAAATGGTTTATGGGGATTTGTCACCAACTTCTGGTTGGTCGAACGAATGTCGAAAGAAAATAAATACACTTAAAAGTCAAAATGGATTTTTAAATATCTTTAAAATAAAGCAATTTTATCTCTTCGTGCCAAAACACTTTATTCTTACCAATTCAAGTTAATTTAAATAATTTGAAAGAAAAGAAAACCTTTGTTAAAGATAAGATCAATTTGCGAATTTTCATCAAAATATAAAAACACGATGAGCCAATTCGAGCCGTAGGAGAGCGATGCAAGGTATGCGTCGATATTTCAGACGGTCATTCGACGTAAAACGGAGACAAGAAATTTTTGTCCAACACGTTTCGATATTTCTCCCCTTTCAAAGAACGTATAATTTTTTCTCGATAATTTAAATCGAGTTGCAATACACGAAAATCGAATAAGTATCTCGATGAGTTTGTTCAAATCGAGGAGTCGAGTGACAGTAGTATACGCACAAGACTTGCAAAATAGAATTAAAATGGTAAACTAAACGGCTCGTCCAACGATTGTCCGGACGCTCTAATCGAAGTTTAACGTTTGAAAGTCTGCGTGTTCAATAACGGCTGCCTTCCGCTATACGTTTGCCCACAGCTTATTCACCCCTTTATTGTCAGGCTGCAAGCCTCCTTGCATTAAAGCACGACGGGTTCCCGTAATCCAGGCGTCTCGCCAAAATAAACCTTCGTCGCATTCTATCAGCCTTGCTTTTTATCTTCCGTTTAATTATCGAACGACGGTACAGTCTACGACAAAAGAGGTCCGCGATGAAAATACACACGATTTATGAAAATACGTATCGTATCCAGGCATTTTTCGACGTTTCTATATTTTATCCGCCAACCGATTTTACTCGGCGAAGAAATATCCATTGCGTTTTAAAATATTCACCAGAGCACGTGTGCGGATAGTTTCTGCCAAATTTCCCATGGCCCCAGGGCAAACCGTACAGACGGAGGAAAAATTTTCACGGATTGGAGACAAGGTACAATCCAATCGAAAATTTCTTCTACGGTTTCAATGTCTATCAAGAATCATCCATCATTCGATCAAATTTCCATTATTTACTGTCCAATTGTCCGTTTCTATATATATCTCGCGATTCTAATTATTCGTAATAAAATTTTCCACTTGTGTATATCATCGTACTTACTCGTCGTCACGTCCTTCCTTCCCTTTAGGTTTACTCACCCGGCCAGTGTGTGCGTCACCCTACGCCGAGGCGTGACTGGCTGCCATTCCGAAGGCGTTCCAACGACCCGTATGTGCGTCCCGTATACTTTTCCATTTAACCATCCTCCTTATTTTATACCTCCTCTCACTTCCTACGTATCTTTCCAATCTGTTGCATCGATTGGACACGTTGTGGTCAACAGATAAATTATTTTTTTCCTTCTTGTTTTTTTTACGAGAAAGAAAAAGGAATATCCTTTCTCGAATATCGTTTACCCTCCAACTAGGGTAAACCCCTGGTAGCTAATGACTCATCGCCCAAAATCGAACAAACGAAAGAACCTGGAGCTATCCAGATTCATACCTTCCCCTCTCCTTCCACATATATTCAACCGTAGATTGAAACTTCTTCCGCGCGATTACTGGCGCGAACAATTCGCGTGCAATCTTCAGAATCGCCCGCTTAACCGCACCTCCAAAAATCCAAAAAGAAAAGAAAAAAAAGGAAAAGAAGCTCCCCGTCAGTTCCTCGGTTCGTTTCTTCTTTTCTATCCCTAATTCAAACTCGACTCTCACCAACCGATTTTCCATCCTCGCGTTATTCCATCGGCCCTCGAGCTAGGTGCTCGTCGCGGGCCACACACGGCGCGATAAGTTTTCACGCCGTTTTGCCATTCTGGATACGCATTCTGGAAAATGCTGTAACCGTGTAAGCGTGTCGTAATCCCACGCGCGCGTGCGTGCACATCACACGTACGTTCGTAACCCGTTCCCCGCGCCGAATAACCCATGTGTACGAGTCATTCTCGCGCGTTCACCACAAAGGGTCCTCGGACAATGACGAATGAAAGGCAACGCACTACTATAATACTCACTCGTCCTCGTGCTCCTGCGAACGGTAGCAACGCGCGTGTGTGCGTGTGCGCCGCGTGCACACTTCCCTCCATTCTTTTCTCGCGTTTCTCGCGCCTTGTCCCACGTCGGGACAATTGAAAATCGTCCACGACTCGAGGAGAACGATTGGAATCGGTTAACTAATGCGGCTCGTCTGCGCCTCCCGATCTATGCCAACGTTCGTTGCGAAAAGCGCGAGAATAAGTCTTTTCCCTCCTCAAGTGGTGAATCGAATCGTATTCGCCACTTTTCAACGGGCCACGGTAAAGTTTGCGAAGTTTTA